TGTGTGTGTGTGTGTGTGTGTGTGTGTGTGGAGAGAGAGAGAGGGAGAGAGGGGAGGGGGAGAGAGAGAGAGATTAATTCTAAGGAATAGGCTCATACAATCTGGAGACTTGACAAGTCAAAATTAGTAAATCAGCAGGGAGGAGAGGCTGCTGTGGACCCCCCAGGAGTGTTGTAGTTTGGGCCAAATCCCCTCTGGCTCGGAGGACGTCAGTCTTTAATTAAGGCCTTCAGCTGGTTGGAAGAGATCATACACATTATGAATGATAATCTTTACTCAGTATATCAATTTAAATATCCACCTCATTCGAAAAACAGCTTCACAGAAACATCCAGAATCATGTGTGGCCAAAGTCCTGGGCGCGGTGGCCTGGTCACAGTGATGCCAACCTAAAACGTCCATCATGCCAAGCATCATCTCAGTCTTGTCCTACCTGAGCCAGGCTGTGTGCCGTGACCCGCGTGAGACCAATGGCAGCTGTGACGTTCCAAAGGTTAATGAGATTCAGTTTCTAAGAAGCTCCAAGCACAGTGATCACACCAGCTAGACTTCAGCTGTAACACTGTGGCCTGGGGTTGGGTGGCATGGCCTGGGATTCTGCCCTCATCCAGTCCAAGAGCCCTGACCTGGGAGTCCTGAACCCTGCTTCAACCTCATGAGCAGTTAGCTGTGGGACCCAGAAAATGTCACTTCTCATCTCCAGCCAGGTTCCCCTAATTGCTTTGCATAAGAAGGTAAGTCTTCTCCATGCCCTGAACACTAGCCCTGACAGCAGCCTGTCATCCATGATTAAGGAAATCTTCCTTATGTGGAAAACAGGAAATATGTGATACCTTAATGACTGATAATCATAACTGATTTCACTAAAGCATGTATTGCCTTGCATTCTTCTAGTTTTACATACAGGTTTATTTAATCATAGTTCCTTCAAACAAATCACAGATACTCTGAACAGCACTGGCTTTGATTTCACAGAGCAAATCAGTTAGACAAAGGATTAAAAAAATTAAGTCGTGCCAGCAGGTGGCGTGATGGTTGAGGCTCTGAACTCTCACATGGCAGACCATTAGACCACGCTTCCAGTTCTGGACCTGGTGACTTGCTTTCTCACTTTATCTCTCTCTCTCTCTGTTTCTGTCTCTGGTGAGCACTCACTTCCTTTGTCAAATAAAAAATAATTTAAGGAAAAAGGGATAAATAATACAAAATAAGAATGAGTAAAGCATATGAATAGGTAAGTTTACAGATAAACAAATCAAAATAACCAAAATATAAAGTTAAAAGGTGCTCAAATTTCTATATATTATAGATAAAAACACACACACAGAAATTAAAATGAATAAAAATACCCACTGAGAGAAGGAAATGGTACTCTTATATATTACTCCTTTAAATATTAATTGAAGCAGTCTTTTGGAAAGCAATTTTATATAATCCCATTAAATTTTAAAAATAAACTTTTGATCTATTATTTTCTTTTATGTATACTTTAGGGGTAAAAAAAACATCACTACACAAAGATGCAAAGAATATTCAATGCTTTATATTCAGAGGCAAGGGACAGACACATCCATGTGAGACGATTGTAAAAGATCACAGTACATTCATATTATGAAGTAAAACTCAATCTATACCAGTTTAATTGGGAATTACCACAATGTATGGTTATTTGAGAAGAATAAGATACAGAGACGTGTAAATAATATTTCATTATTGTAAAATAATAAACTGTTGGTGGTGGTGGTGGTCATAGAGTACATGCACTCACCGGAGAAAGACAGAGAGAGAGAAAGAAGTGAGAAATTGCCCCTAAGGAGGATTGGCTATGCCACAATCCCTTCTCCTCCATTCTTCTCCTGTGATTTTGGCATGCACACACACATGCCCAGCATGAGTTTTCAGACTGAGGGATCTGGGACTCCATGGTCGACCGTATGGGAGTCTGGCACTTTAATCACCACTCCATCTCCTTTCCTCTAGAAATTAATTTTTAAAACTCTATTTTACATTGAAAAAGTGTGGCTAGCAGATGCTAAATTTATAATGCTGGGTTTTCTGGTACAGGGTAAAGGTAACAGTAGGGGCAGTGGAGAAGAGTGTAAAAAGGAAAAATCAGACTTTCACAAGAAAAGTAGCATATATACTATGATTCCTTTTACATAAAATCATGTGAAATACATGTATATGTATTTATATTCACATACTTAGGGTTGTGTGAAAGAACACTCTCTAACATGTTAATAATAAAGAAACAAGAACAGTGAAATCCTGTTTTTTACTGTAAGTTTTCACACTGAAAATTCCAGCATAGAATTAAGAGATACTCATCTCTAAATTTTGAACCTAATGTCAGTTAAATGTAGAGATATTCTTCAGGAAAATTACCCTATTCTTTTGGATATTATCAACAGGGAAGACTCTGGAGCACTGGAAGTTGATGTGACTTTTTTAATATTCAAAAGTTATTTGTGATTATATAAGATGTATATTCAAACAGGACAATAGATTTTTTTAGAGTTCTTTTGTGGTTCTGCTAATCTTTTTATTAAACATTCCTATATATGTCAAATTTTGTCACTGCTTTTGAAATAACCTTTCACAGATTAATGAAATAACAAGATTGTTTTTTTTCATTACTTATAAGTAACGTCTGGAAAAACCTCCAAAAAGTTTTTCTGAAAGATACAGATCCTTCTAGATTAGCTTGGAACAAAATAAATATGTTAAGGTATATAGATTATGGTATTTTCATCTATGAAAAAAAAATTCATAATTTTATACCTATACTTCATAATAATTAAGAAACATAAAAAATAATAAAATATTAGAAAGATTAAATTTGTCTAATCTAAAGTTCTAAAGGGTATTTTTCTAAGAATCAAAGATCAGCATGATGAATGATTGTGAGATGTTATTCTGTCTTCATTGAAAATAAATGAAAAATGAATTTTAAAATATTTACTTTTAAGCATATGTCCACGGAATATGTACAACAGAGCCAAAACTTTTCATTACAAATTAACAAACATAAGAAATCTTTTCCTTAAATAAAATATCTTTGCCCCAATTTTATAAGCTCAAAAAACTAAACTGTTCATAGTTCTAGTTTCTGCAATGTATATCTGAGCCAAGAATTGTAAGCTTTGTGAATTTTTTCTCAAGAGTTATATGACTCACAAAGAGACAAAATGAATCTATTAAGGTCTTCAGCTGGGGGCCAGCAGGTGGTATTGGTGGTTGGAGCTTTAGATTCGCACATGGCTGACTGCAGTTTGAGTCCCAGACCTGATGGCTTGCTTTCTCACTCTCTCTCCTCTCTCTGGTGCATGTACATTATGTATAATAAAATAAGTGAATAATAATTTTTTAAAAGTTACTTTCAGTGACTTTATCCCATATTCTCATCATTTCATGAAGTTAAATAATTTTTTATTTACACACAAACCCTAGCCAGCATTTCCCATCACCAGTTAGTAATATTTGAGCTGTATAGCTTATGTCTTAATTGAGAAAAAATTTTAAACTCTCAATATGATGAATTTTTCATATTATTACTTAAATTTTTCCTTTTTTATTCTTATATTAATAAATATTTATTTTAAAACTTCACAACAATTATACCTCCAAAATAAAAATCTTAACTAAGATATTCATTTTCAGAAAGGCATTTACTTCTGTTTGTCCAAACTTATTAAATAATTTAAAAAATTCCACCTAGAATTTTAATTTCTTACTTAGATATGCTGTTATCTTATGAACAAACCGTGGATCTATAACAATGAAATCATAAAAATCTCTGTACTCTCACCCACTTCCTGGAGAACATTGATAAATTGGAAAAGTGCTCATTTTCTGGAAGGAACATAAAAGTTACAGAAATAAACTAATACTATTTGTGTACCAGTTTTCCTTAAAAACTCCAAACTGAAGAGCGATGGCATTCATTTTTCTATTTTCCAGCCATCCTTATAAAAATGTTGAAATTCCTGTTGAGTTTCTAAGAGATTCCCAGTAGAATTAAGTCTAAGTTTTTCTACTGGGCATTGTGAACTAAGCATCAAATCATCTATACACAGCTAGTTAAAACAATTAAAATTATACATTGTGTCCTCAGAGTTCACTTTATGTCAGGTTTATAAACTATCCCTAAACAGTTTTGAATAAGCTTGTTTTCCTTCCTCTTGTTTCTCTTAATAGTGCCACAATCCAACTACCTAATTAACTTGATTTCCACTGAGAAATCCCAAAGTTACCTTAGCATTAATATGTCTAAATCTGTGACTTAAATCTTCCTGGTAACTAACCTTTACCAGTTTTCCCTCCTTTCTACACATGAGGCATTCTCAGTCTCTCCCCAAGGGAATAAAATTGAAT